GTGGGAAGTCTGCTTCTCCCTTTCCCACTCCCCCTGCTTATGTTCCCTCTTTTGCTGTGCCTCTGTCAAATAAATAAATAAAATCTTAAAAAAAAAAAAAAGACTAAAACCAAGAATAAATCATCTGTTCCCTTTAATTAGATCTTGACCCACCCTTTGGATCAGAAGCCATAAAGGAAGGGCTGGGAGCCCTACCCAAAGAAAGGGACCTGAATCCTGGTTTCTGGATCGTTGGGGAGACTTTTAGACACAAATTTGTTTTCCCTTGTCTTCAGCCTTTCCTCATCTTGGTAGCTGAACGCAAGATCTGAGTGTGACTGTCCCTGTCCTGCCACACCCTTTCCTGGTCCAGTCAGGTGACAGCATCCCATTCCAACAGCAACTCAATGCCCCCTCCCTCCTGAGGGACCTCTGCTCAAGCAGGGACAGTTCAGCTGGCTGGGGCTCTGGGCTCTTCAGGAGGCTAGCTGCCAGATGAGATCACCAGGGCTGAGCCAGGATTCCCAGATATCCCAGGGGAGCTCTGGCCTTCAAATCTCATCCTGCAGAGTCTCTCCCATGGGCCCTCTGTCTTACCTGCCACCACCCAAGGAGAGTTGTGTGTTCTGCCTCCTTGAGGGAGAGCTGAGCATGCTACCTGTGGGGGGTCCTGGGCTTTGCCCCATCCCAGGAGCACATGGCTTTTATACCAGTGTTACTGGACCTAGCAACTTGGAGAAGCTCAATGATCATTACATTTTTTTTTATTTGAGAGAGAGAAGGAGAGAATGATGGGGTAGGGGTGAGGGGGGTGCAATGGGGGTGGGGGAGCAGGCTGAACCCTGAGCACTGAGCAGGAGGCAGGCAGAGGCCACGAGGGTAGACTTGCCTCTCAGCATCCCGGGATCCTCACCTGAGCAGAAGGCAGATACTTACTGGACTGAGCCACCCAGGTGCCCCAATAATGGCTTCTAATAAAAAAAATCAGATTTTCTCATACCAGTCAGTAAACAAGATACCAAAATTATTAAGCAACTAATTGACCTGAATTATGTAAAAGTGAAGAGGAATTGGCTTCCAATTTTAGGCTAAATTCGATAAGTAAAAGTTTAATGAAAATTTTAAGCAATGTGACATTAAAGATTTGTCATAATAAAAGATGGTTTGCTTTAAGAAATAGTTCTGGCAGGACTTACTTAACCTTGGAATTATATGAATGTATAAAAAGTTTCCTTTTGAGTTTTCTGGGTAAGATTCAGTTTCCAATCACTGGCTTTTTCCCCTTCATATGCTCTGGTTATATAATACAATATTTCAAGTTATATAATACAGTATTTATTGTATTATATATAAGTTATATAATATATACAATATATATTATAATAATATTATAACAATATAATATAACAAAATAACAATATTTAATAATATATAATATATACAATATACAATATATACAAGTTATATAATACAATATTTCAACTTTCAAGTTGAATTTTTAATATATTAAAGTAATAGATATTTGTGTTTTTAAAAAAAGCAACAAATAGGGGCACCTGGGTGGCTCAGTGGGTTAAGGCCTCTGCCTTCAGCTTGTGTCATGATCTTGGGGTCCTGGGATCGAGCGTGTCAGGCTCACAGCTCAGCAGGAAGCCTGCTTCTCTTCCTCTCTCTCTGCCTGCCTCTCTGCCTACTTGTGATCTCTGTCAAATGAATAAATAAAATCTTTAAAAAAAAAAGAATATACAGTTCAATAATATTAACTATTGTCACTATGTTAAACATTAATCCCCAGAATTTATGAGTCTCATACCTGCAAGTTTGTACCTTTTACCACCTTTGTCCATTCCCATTGTCCTTCCAAGTAGAGTTTTCTTGATTATTTGTGAGATTTTCAATCTTTTCATAGGCTTATTTGCCACGTACTGCAGCTTTGGAGAACCATACTTGTTGCAATGTGTTTGTAGGAGCTCTTTATATATTCTGGATACTCATCCTTTGTCCATGATAAAAAAATTTTTTATTATTACTATTTTTTATTATGTTATGTTAGTCACCATATAGCACATCATTAGTTTTTGATGTAGTGTTCCATGATTCACTGTATGCATATAACACCCAGTGCTCCATGTGATATGTGCCCTCCTTAATACCCACCACCAGGCTTACCCATCCCCCCCACCCTCCCCCTCTAAAACTCTCAGTTTCTCAGAGTCCACAGTCTCTCATGGTTCATCTCCCCCTCTGATTCCTCCCCCTTCCTTCTCCTAATATTCTCCATGTTATTCCTTATGCTCCACAAGTAAGTGAAACCGTATGATAATTGACTTTCTCTGCTTGACTTATTTCGCTCAGCATCATCTCCTCCAGTCCCATCTATGTGATGTAAAAGTTGGGTATTCATCCTTTCTGATGGCTGAGTAATATTCCCTTATTTTTATGGACCACATCTTCTTTATCCATTCGCCTGTTGAAGGGCATCTCGACTTTTAGAAGCAGATCTGTTTCCTTCTTGAAGACTCACTGTGCCTTGAAGGAGGTGAGTTGGAGGGGAGGAATCAGAGGAGAGTCACTACTGGAGATGTCTGGTCCGGGGAAATCCAAATCTCATTGCTTCATTTCCAGAATTTTTTCTGCACCCAGAGTGTCAGGATCATGTTTGACACTTACAGATGACTACTTGAGAGGTGGTTTCAGAGAGACTTAATGCCACTTATTTCCACTGCGTTATAATGTAAATTTCTGAAATAATGTAACCTTTAAAATTTTATTTAAATACTTATTTAAAGGATAAATTAAAGTTTAAAGGATAAACTATCACAAATATAATCTTGTTCTATTTAAAAGATCTGAGTCTCAAAAGAAAGGAGCCCTGAGATTCTCCACTTTCACACAGTATTCTTTCAGCAATGAGCAGCTTGTGATATTGACAAGTGTCTGATTGCCAGTACCAAAGGAGAACTTGGGAAATATTCTCTTTGTTCAGAATTCTTGTTCAGGCAGTTAGAAGGCCAAGTTCAGGAATCCCAACAGTTAGCACCAGAACATCAGTGTTAAGAAAAAGTGCAGAGGTGGATCATCATGACGGAGAATGAAGGCAGGGAAATACTACATCTCCACCATAATCACAATCTCCCGGAGGACTGGAGGATTCTGCTTTCGCCATAGGGATCGAAGGTCCCGTTGGTGGACGTGGACAGCAGGTAGAAGGTCACTCACCAAAAGGGAGAGCAGGTGCAGGAGAGCACATCCTCAGGCCCTTCTTTTAGCAACTTCAGTCTCTAAAAGAGAAACAGGAGCTTGTTCCAGTGGCTGAGGAAATCCTGGGTCAGTTCTCCTGGGCTTCTCCCTCCCTAGTTACTGCCTGGCTCAAAGTCCAGCTCACACTGAGGGTCGAGTATCATCCTACACTCCCCCCACCCCGATCCTGGGCCACCCAAGCCCTGGGTCCAGCAGCCTGACCAAACTCTTCCCTCATTACCACAAAACAGTCAGCCTCAGGCCCTACTCCTGAACATCTAGGCTCAAGACTAAAGCCACCAATAATTCATCTGTTCCCATGACATAGATCCTGGCCCTCCTCTGGTGGGAAGGCCTGAGAGAGTAGCTGGGAGCCCTACCCAGAAAGCGACCTGGATCCTGGTCCCTGTAGCCTTGGGGAAGATTACAGGCAAAGATCCATCTTCCCTTGTCTTCAGCCTCTCCTCATCTTCGTAGCTGAACACAAGGTCTGAGTGTGACTGTCCTTGCCCTGCCACACCCTTTCCTGGTCTGGTCAGGTGAGAGCATCCCATTCCAACAGCAACTCAATGCCCCCTCCTAAGGCACTCTGAGGCACCTCTGCTCAAGGTAGGGGCAGTTCAGCTGGCTGGGGCTCTGGGCTCCATAGGAGGTTAGCTTCCAGGTGAGAGGACCAGGGCTGAGCCAGATACCTCAGGGTACCCTGGAGCTCTGGCCTTCGAATCTCATCGTGGAGAGTCTCCCATGGGCCCTCTGTCTTAGCTGCCACCACCCAAGCTGAGCTGTGTGGGAGCAGAACCCTGCAAGCCAGCCTTTGGTTGGGTGGGCAACAGCCTTCCCACCCCTCTTCTTTGGTTCAGCATGGAGATGCAGCATGGAGAGGTCTCCATCCCTAGGACACATCACATGCAGCCACCAGCTGCTCTCCCCCAAACCAGAGTGTTATCCATGTCCAATGCTCCTACTGTCTGTACACCACCCCCCACTCAGGCGCCTCCCCAGGTGAAAAGCTGGTCTGAGCCAGGCCTGATTTTGCTCAATCCTTTTAGCAAAAACAGGATGTAAAGTTTGGGGTTAGGGGAGGGAGAGCCCTGTGCTTTCCCACCAGCTTTAGCGAGGCGATATCAGAACTCAAGGCTAAGCTTGCCCAGGTAACTACTATCAAGCAATGTAAGAATCCTTTTACAGGTCAACTCAACTGGGCCAAGGGATGCCCCAGTAGCTAGGAAAACATTCTTTCTGGGTCTGTCTAGAGAGTGTTTCTGGAAGAGATGAGCATTTGACTCAGTAGACTGAGTAAGGAAGACTGTCCTCATCGAATCCACAAGGGCCTGAATGGAACAAACAGTGGAGGAAAGGTGACGTTGCTCTCAGTTTGGCTGGGCCATCCTTCTCCTGCCCTCAGCATTCATCATTAGCACTCCTGGACCTAGTTTTGTTCTTTTTGTTCTTTGGACCAGGACCTAGACTTACACCACTGATGCCCTGATTCTCAGGCATTCAGGTTTGTGCTGGAACCCCACCACCAGCTTCCCTGTTTCTCCAACTCGCAGACCCTAGTCATGAGCCAATCCCTTGTAATAATTATCTACCTCAACCTCTACATCAGCAGCTCCTGATGAGTCTCTTTCTTGGGAGAGGCTAATATAGTCCAACACATCTGGTCTCATATTCAGGTGAGAAGGTTCAGGCAATAGGACAAGGGGTTGCTATTCACCTTTCTTTGTGCTCACCTCAGGCCATCTGCCTCTCACTTCTGACTCAGTTCTGCCCACAGTACCTGTTACTCAAAGGACTATGCCTTGAATGACAAGGAGGATTGAGTGCGTGAGGACCACAAGGAAGACAGAAGAGATCAGCCTGATGGCTGCGCCTTTGACCAGAGCTACATGCAGGGTTGTGGCTGGTGCTCCTGAAATGGAAACACAATAGTGAGGACCCTGGTCTGGATCCCCAAACTGGTGGCATAAGTCTTTAGCTGCTGCTGCCCCAGGTAATCCTACAGCCCAGATGTCCTCCTTCTACCATATTTGTGGCAGCCACTGTGACCAATCCTGAGGATGAAAGGGAGGGCGGTTCATGCAGATCATACAGCTAATGGGGGAAGCAAGGCTTTCCATATAGACAGTCACTCCTGCTGTGACAGAAGAGGAGGGGATATGTATGGATGGTGACAGAGACATTTTGTCAGGAGCTGACATTTCACCTGGCATTGAAGGATTTCAAGAAAGAGAGCAGGGGAGACGAAAAACAACAATGAAGCTCAGAAAAGGGAACAGTAAAAAGTAAATCTCTGGAAACGGAATGATGCCTTCAGGTTGGGGCCAGCAAGAAATCCACAGTGGAAGGACCAAAGGTATGTGCAGTAGGGAGAGATGCCAGGACGTGAGACGGGAAAGGAAGGATGCTGGGACATACTAGTGGCCCTTTTACTCCTAAGAACAACTCATCATGTATGCATCACTTACACACACACACACACACCCCATACTGTGGGGCAGGTGGACCTCACCGCAAGAGAACCAGCAGTCCTTCCAGTCTTCTGAGTTACCTGTGGTCTCCTGCGTTTCATCCCAGCGCTCCCACACTTGCTGCAGCCAGCTCTGACAGTCTCCGTTTGAGGTCCTCACAAGCAGCTTGGTCAGCTCTCTGTCACCATCCAACATGTCCTTAACCTGTTGGCCTCCAGAATGATCCACTGTCCACTTTCTCTTCTTCGGGTCAAAGAGGTAGGTTATCGGCTCATTGAAGGAAAACTGCCAGGATTCTCTGGTGTGTCCATCGGCCCCACGCTCACATGTGAGCCTGCCCTGCATGGTGAGAGAACCTGCACCGGCCCCCAGCGGGGGAACAAGTCAGCCTCTGGTCCTGACCAATCCTTTGTCCTACCCACTGTGCACTCCTCAGCTCACTCCCAGCCCTCCTGGTCCTGCTCTGGCCTCCTTGTCTACCCTGGCTGCTGGGCCACATGTGTGCGACCCACTTCGAAGATTTACATGACCACAATAGCTCCCCTGCCCTGCCAAAGTGTTCCCCTTCTACCCTGGGCCTTCAGACTTACCGCTTTTAGTGAAATTCTCTACTTTGATGTCCAGCAGTTTCTTTCTGAGCTCTTCTACCAGGAGTTTCACAGTTTCCTCCTGTTTCTGCCAAAATGCTGTGTCCTTCAGCTTCATCCCCCAAGGACCAATGGGTTTGAACTCCTTGGTCTGACAGTCATAGGAAAGAAACGTTTTGCCATTGATCTGGCCTTGAATCTGACACCATGGTTGTCCAGGCCTGGCCTGAGATGTGATGGAGAAATGGTAGGAAAACGAGAGAGCATCTGCGAAGGGAAAACACATGTGAAGGTTGGGACTGGAAGAAAAAGAGCAGCAGGCACCCCTCAGCCATCCAGGTGACAGCACTAGAATGTGGGCAAGACAGAGCAAGGACTGTCCCTGCACAGCAGCTCTCCCTAGCCTTGGAGGCTGGCGCTCTTCCCTTGTTGGGATAGGATCAGGATGCCTCTGCCTGGCAGGAGGCCACATAGCCCCAGATAGGAACCCACGCCTACCAGGCCAAACCCTGCATCAGTCACTCTACCCAGTCCAGGGCATAGCACAGCCTGGCCATAGCACAGGAGGCCTGCATGTCCGAGGACTGTCAGGATGCAGGCCAGTGTCCTGTAGGAAGATGAAGGGCAGGGAGAGGGCTGCTCCTGAGGAGCTGGGGCAGGGTGGGGGCAGGGTGAGGACAGGCTCCAAAGCCAGACCAGGGAGAGTTCAGGATCATGGGTCGCAGGATTCAGCGAGGCCCTGGAGATGGCGCTAATGTGCTCCAAGGATGGGTCCCGGTAAAGTGAAGACAGGCCTGTCCCGCGAAGCACTGACTAGATTATCAAGAACTTCCCGAGCAGAGAGGAGAGGAAGGGATTCCGAGGCTCAGAGAAGTGCATAAGTAAGAATGATATAGAAATAGGAGCAAAACAAACAGAAGAAACTCCCAAAACAAACAAACCAAAAACCCGCAAAGAGGTCCACAAAATACATCGATGGGGAGCGCTGGAGGGGCGGGGATGGTGACGCACGGAGAAGTTGCGTCAGTGGCAGAGTCGCGCGGTTGTGTGGGGTCCAGGCCCTGCGCGATCGCCCTGTCCTGCACATAACCCAGGGCTCCGGGGCTGGGTACGCACTCACCGAGGGGCAGGTGGGGACTGCGGCCGACCGCAGGCTCCCCGCCGCAGCCTCTCCCCACCTCCTCCCCCGCTCCGCGCGCCCAGAGCCTGGCAGTCCGTGGTGGCCCAGGTCCCCTCTTTTCCGTCCACAGGGCGACAAAGTCCCGGCGGACTCCGCGGAGCGCTAAAGGAGCCCGCGGCGGGGACCCGAGAGGGGCGGGGCGTCGGCGGCCCCAGGCGGCGACAAGGGTCCCAAGGCCCCGGGACTCACCTGTCTCTCCGCCGCCGCGCGTCGCGCCCACGCCCAACCCCGCGGGCGCCGCCGAGATCCCGCGCAGCAGCCGCAGCAGCAGAAACAGGAGCGGCAAGCGCCCAGTGAACTTGGTGGCGGCCGTGGGCTCCATCGCGGCCCCGAGCCGGGGGGAGTCCCAGGTGAGGCGCGGAGTGGCTTCTGAAGGAACCCGCGGGCCGGGAAGCAGAACGTGCTTGCTGCGACCGGGCCGAGGCTTCGCGGGAGGGCACCTGTCTCTCATCCGAGTGGAATTGGACCTCTGTCCGGGAGAAACAGCTCAGTGTCGCCCAACTTTCCCTTCTTACACTTGAGGCAGAGGCGAGACGAGACGAGCGGACGGAGGCGGGAGACGCACAGGAAGCGACGGAGGACCGCGCCCCAGGCAGAGCGCCCCCCCCCCGCTCAGCGGATCTGCTGAGCGAGGTGCCCGCGGACCCGGCGGCAGATTCAAAGGTCCTGGGGCGGCTGGAGCAGCCAGGGCCCGGATCTCCGGAAGGGGGCGGGGCGCGGGAGGGGCGCAGACTGGGAGAGGCCCTCGCCTGCCATCCCCGCGAGGAACATTTTTGACACGTGAAAACCAGGAGACCGATACATGTGCCCATGGGTATGACAAGTTCACTGGTTTTCTTTTGTTCGGGTACCACTAGGTTTCCTTTCCTCCACCTTTTGGAAGAATCAAATTTGGTGAGATATAATTTACAAGCAATCCTCCCCTTCTTTGTGAAGGCACATAGCTTCAAGTTCCTTATCTTTGGAAGTGTAGGAGAAGCATATGGGTATCTGGCCAACTTCTAACGCCCGTTCTCAGGCTCTGGAAGTTAAAGCAGATGAATGCTATTACTCCAGCTACGCATCCTAAGCAAACCGTAAATTCTACAGAGAATCCTATTTCCAAGCACTACTTTCTTCAGGTTTGCGGAAAACAAAACAAAACCAGTGATGTTTTTAAATCAATGACCACACTTTAGCTCTCAGACGAAGTGAGTGTTGGAGCGAGAGTACATCACTTTCTCTCACGATCATTTTCCTATTGTATAAATTGCATAAAATCAGCCACAAATGCTAGACTTAATATAAGTATGATATAAAGTAGCCCATCTCCTTTAGTCATTGGACACACTTAGGTTAATTCTGGGCTTTGAGAACTAAATAGCCACATTGTAAACAATAGCACCTGGAGAAACCGAACTCAGCTGACTTAAACAGATATGACCAGATATGTGTACAGCTCTAACAGAAGTTGATGAACTGTTCTACCTTAAATTTTTATTTACTTGTTTACTCACGGAACACTGATTTATCTACTTTTGGTTTCCTTTTACAGAGGAGCTCAAGATAGCATGTCCTATGTCCATCTGGAAAATTTACTATGAGAAGTCACGTGTTTCTAAAAATTATGAAAAGCATTTATCAATCTGCCAATCCCCTAGGAATGCTAGGATAAGAGACAGTCCCCTACTGTTTACCTCTCAATTTTCACCAGAAATTTAGGTTTTTAAGGGTTGAGCATTCTAGTATAGAAGCTTAGTGAATAATTGTATATAGTTTAAAATACATTTAAAGAACGTACCTAAACCATGTGATTGTAGTAACACATTGCCTGTTGAGGAGAAATCACTAATTTTGTTTTCTTTTTCCTATTTTTTAAAAATTTAAATTCAATTGGATGATATATAATGTATTCCTAGCTACTGAGGCAGAGGTCAGCTATTCAAGTCTCACATAACACATCGTGCTGACTACACTACGTGCCTCCCTCCCCCACAGTGTCCACCACCTAGTTTGTCCATCCCGCTCCCCCCACCAGTAACCCACAGGTTCTTTTCTGTGATTAAGAGTCTCTTATGGTTTGTCTCCCTCTCGGTTTCGTCTTCTTTGATTTTTCCCTCCCTTCTCCCGTGATCCTCTGTTTTGTTTCTTAAATTCCACATCTGAGTAAGACCATATGATACTTGTCTTCTCTGACTGACTTCCTTCGCTTAACAGAATACACTCTAGTTCCAATGCTTGTTGTTGCAAATGTCAAGATTTCGTTTTTCTGATGGTTGAGTATATTACCACATCTTCATTATCCATTCATCTGTCGATGGACATCTGGGCTCTTTCCACAGTTTGGCTATAGTGGACATGCTGCCATAAACACTGGGGTGCATTCCCCTCTTTGGTTCACTACATTTGTATCTTTAGGGTGAATACCCAGTAGTGCGATTGCTGGGTCATAGGGTAGCTCTATTTTCAACTTTTTGAGGAACCTCCACACTCTTTCCAGAGTGGCTGCACCAGCTTGGGCTCCCACCCACAGTGTAGGAGGGCTCCCCTTTCTCCACATCATCACCAACATCTGTCCTTTCCTGACTTGTTAATTTTAGGCATTCTGACTGGTGTGAGGTGGTATCTCATGGTGGTTTTGATTTGTATTTCCTTAAAGCCGAGTGAGGTTGAGCATCTTTGCATGTGTCTATCAGCCATATGGATGTCTTCTCTGGAGACATGTCTGTTCATGTCTTCTGCTCCTTTCTCGATTGGATGGTTTGTTCTTGGCTGTTGAGTCTGATAAGTTTTTTTATAGATTTTGGATACTAGCCTCTTTTCTGTCATTTGCAAAATCTTCTCCCATTCTGTAGTGGTCTTGTGGTTTTGTTGACTGATCTTTTGCTATCCAAAAGCTTTTTATTGGGGTGCCTGGGTGGCCTAGTTAGTTAAGTGTCTGCCTTCTGCTCAGGTAATAATCCAAGGGTCCTGGGATGGAGGTCTGCATGGGACTCCCTGCTCAGCAGGAAGTCTGCTCTTCCCTCTCCCTCTGCCCCTCTCCCCTGCTCATGCTCTCTCTCTCTCTGACATAAATACATAAAATCTTTAAAACAACAACAAGCACCAAGACCTAGAGCTTTTTATCTTGATGACGTCCCAGTAGATCCTATTTGCCTTTGGTTCCCTTGCCTTTGGAGACATGTCTTACAAGAAGTTGCTGTGGACGTGCTCATAGAGGTTGCTGCCTATGTTCTCCTCTAGGATTTTGATGGATTCCTGTCTCACATTTAGGTCTTTCATCCATTTTGAGTCTGTTTGGGGATAGGGTGTTAGAAAATGGCCCAGTTTCATTCCTCTGCGTGTCGCTGTCCAATATTCCCAGCACCATTTGTTGAAGAGACTGCCTTTTTTTTTTTTTTTTTTTTTGCCATAGGATATTCTTTCCTGCTTTGTCAAAGATTAGTTGACCATAGAGTCGAGGGGCCATTTCTGGGCTCTCCATTCTGTTCCATTGATCTATGTGTCTGTTTTGGGGCAGTACCACACTGTGTTGAGGATTATAGCTTGGTCATAGAGCCTGAAGTCCAGAATATTGTGATGACACCAGCTTTGATTTTCTTTGCCAACATTCCTTTGGCTGTTTGGAGTCTTTCCTGGGTTCCATACAAATTGTAGGATTACTTGTTCCAGCTCTGTGAAAAAAAGCTGATAGTACGTTCATAGGGACTGCTTTGAATGTGTAGATTACTCTAGGTAGCATAGACACTAAACAATATTTGTTCTTGCCATCCATGAGCATGGAACGTTTTTCCATTTCTTTGCGTCTTCCTCAGTTTCTCTCGTGAGTGTTCTATAGTTTTCTATAGTTCTATAGTTTGCTTCTTTGGTTAGGCTTTTTCCTACATATCTTAGGGTTTTATGTGCAATTGTAAACAAGATTAACTTTTTGATTTCTCCTTCTTTTGTCTCATTGTTAGTGTACAGAAATGCAACTGATTTCTATGCCTTGATTTTATATCCTGCTGGTTTGCTGAGTTCCTGTATGAGTGCTATCAATTTTGGGGTGGAGTCTGTTTTGGGTTTTCCATACAGAGTATCATGGCATCTGTGAAGAGTAAGAGTTTGACTTTTTCTTTGTTGATTCAGATGCCTTTTCTTTCCTTTTGTTGTCAATTGCTGAGGCGAGGAATTCTAGTACTATGTTGAACAACAGTGGTGAGAGTGGATATCCCTGCCTTGTTCTTGACCTTAGGGGAAAAGCTCTCAGTTTTTGCCCATTGATATGATATTCACTGTGGCCTTTCCATATATGGCTCTTATGGTATTGAGGTATGTTCCCGCTATCCCTACACTGTGAAGAGTTTTCATCAAGAAAGGATGTTGTACCTTGTGAAATGCTTTTTCTGCATCTACTGAGAGGATTGTATGGTTCTTGTCCTCTCTTTTATTGAGGTAGTGTATCACATTGGTTGGCGTGTGCATGTTGGACAACCCCTGTATCCCGGGAGTAACAACCACTTGGTCATGGTGAATAATCCTTCTAATGTGCTATTGGATCCTATTGGCTAATAACTCAACTGTCACACTGATGTCCTCCCAGTTGTCGTGATGTCCCCTAGTGCCAACATTTTAGGATATATTTTCCTCACACCAGGATATTCCCCTGGGTCACCACAGGATCATCTCTTAGAAGGTCGCATGGTACCTGAGGGCCTCCTCATCCTCAGACTGCTTCAAGTTGTTCCAGCAATGTCCTATAAGGTCAAAGAGATTGATGGACTTGGGCTTTTTCCATTTCCTGGATGTGCTGAAGATGAGGGTTAGAGTGTTTGATTTGCCTTTTTCGTTGATTGGTTTAATTTTTAAATGTCGGTGAAGAGATTTAGATGTAGGAGTCCTCCAGGACTGTATGTTGTCCAGAAGTTCTCAATACATATTGGAAAGCTTTGTTCAGCTGGTGTTTTGACCCCCCTCTGTGTCATTCTTTTTGACAGTGGTTCAGATTATTTAGTCTTAAGTAGAGAGAAACAGAAATCTCCTAACACATTGTATATATTGTGCCTCAGTTGGATATCATATGGCTAATTTTTCGCTATGACACAAAGCACTGCAGTAAAAAAAATCCTACATCTCCATTGCCTTTTGGTCCCCATGTGTTTCCAGCCTCGAATTAACACTGGGATTGCCATGCAGTAGGGTGAACACACCAACCACTGTCTGGATAGAAGGAAATATAGGGCGAGTGAGTGATTTCATTATTCTCCTACCAACCCATAAGAGAATTCTTTTTATTCCATTTCCCATCCACCACTTGCTATAGCTCTCTTTAAAATTTTGTCAGTGTGATGCATGTATAAAGCAAGCCTGTGGTTCTTCGTGTTATCTTGACTACTTGGGATGTGTTCAGCGACTTCATAGGCTGATTTACAGTTTGTGACTTGCTCTAAGCATTTGCACAGATCTTAGGAGAGCCAGACTTACAAATATTTATTTGCAGGAGCTCTTTAGGTTCTGGATACCGATCCTTTGCCCATGAGGGACTAAATCACCTTTTAGAAGCAGATCTGTTTCTGCCATAAAGACTCACCATGCTCTGAAGGACGCGAGTCAGTGGGGAGAGATGACAGGAGAGTCAATGCTGTGGTGGGGGATCCGGGAAACTCAGAAAGATTCTCGACTGCTTCATTCCCAGAACATTTGTTTGCATCTGGCCTGTCAGGATCATGTCTGAGACTGACAGGTGACTGCTTGAAAGTGGATTTCTGAGCGATCCTTCAATTCTCTATCTCCCCAACAGATCTAGCAGAATCACCACTTTTATTGACCCCACACGGTGGAGGAAGAGCAAAATTCCACGAGTTCTCTTGGGATATAGAACAAATTCCAGGGGCACCTGTGTGGTTCAGCCAGTTAAGTGTCTGCCTTCAGCTGAGGTCATGATCCCAGGGTCCTGGACTCAATCCTCCTGCTGGGCTCGCAGCTCAGAGGGGACCCTGCTTGTCCATCTCCTTCTGCCCCTCTCCCCTACACATGCTTTCTCTCTCTCCCGCCCTCTTTCTCTCTCAAATAAATAAATAAAAATCTTTTTAATACTAAATAAATAAAAAATAAAAAAATTCCAGGGGTGCCTAGAGCAGCTTAGTCAGTTAAGCAACTGCCTTTAACTCGGGTCAGGATCCCAGGGTTCTGGAATGGAGCCCCACAACTGGCTTCCTGCTCAGCCGGGAGTCTGCTCTTCCTTCTCCCTCTGCCCCTCCCCCAGCTTGTGCTCACTCCCTCTCCCCCCACCTCAAATAAATAATATCTTTGAAAACAAAGAAAAAAATAACTTAAAAAATTCCAAATCAACTACATATTTTTATAGTAGAGATAATATTTATTTAAATATACGTATCTGGGCATAATTTACTGAAGAAAATAATCACACATATGTCATTCTGTTTAAAAGGCAATGAGCTTCTTTCTCAGTACATAGAAAAAAAATCCCTGAGGTTCTATAACTTCGAACAATATCTTCTTGGTGACATTGTCTGCGGGGACATGGTTCTCTTACAGAGAAAAATCCAATATTGCACAATCAAAGGACAAGATGGAAAACGTCCTCTTCATTGAGATTCCTCAGTCAAGTACCTAAACATTTCAGTGCAAGAATTCCATCACTTAGCACCGACAGAAAACGGCATAGAATATGCCAAGGTTAAGTGCTGAATAGGAGAGCCACCAAATGCAAGAAGGGGTATGAGGGGTTCGCGGTCCTGCACCACGTGGTTGGACTGAGGTCTCTGGATTTGTAAACTTGAATATGCTGGTGGTCGCCTAATGATGAACTCATCCAAAGGCAGCTGGCCCAGAGGCAGAGTCGCTGAGCTGGTCCCACTCTCAGAGGTTTCTTGGTGGACTTGGCAGCCTAAGAAAAGAACAGGTGTTTGTCTTCGTGGCAGAGGAAATCCTGGGTCTCCTGTCCTGGGGCTGCCCTTCACCAGCACTCCCCACCCCAGAGCCCTGCCCTTGTCCAGGGACATGCTTTCCCCGCAGCCATGACCCCAGCCCTGGGCCCAGACACCTTTACAAACCTCCTTCCTACTGAACCAAATCACGGAGTCAGCCCCAGACCCTGTTTCCAATGGTCTGGGCTCAGGACCAAAGCGAGTAAGAAACCAACGTGCTCATGTGACTCGTATTCCTATGTTCCCTCTCATGGCAGGTCATAAGGATCTGCTGGGGGATCTGACAGAAGACAGGGGTCTGCACTGGACACCTCTGATCTTGGGGAACACTGTGGGCAAAGGTCCTTCTTTTCCCTTCCCTCCCAGCCTCCCGGCAAGCAGCACAAAGAGCTCTTAGCCTGATGATCCCTTCCCCCATTAATCCATTCTTGGTGCGGCTCAGCTGGGAGCTCACAGGGGAGCTCCATTAGCCCATCTCCCAGGTCAGCCCTGCCCAAAGCAGGGGCTGCTCAGTGGCTCAGGATCTGAGGTCTGCAGGAAGCTAGCTGCCGGGACGGCAGCAGTCTCAGCCAGGATTCCCACTGTTGCACGGAGAACTGGCCTCCTTCTAGTCCTGTCATGCACAGTCTCTACTGGACACTTGCTGCTTTACATGCAAAGACACAAGCCATGTTCTGGGGGACCACGGCACGACTGTCTAGCCCTTTGAGCTGGTCTGCAGAGGCCTTCCCACTCCCACTTCTTGGGATTTGACCCTGGCCCCTTGTCCTTATAACTGCCCGGATGGGGTCCCCTTCTCCTTGAGATGTCGCATGGAGCTGCCATGCTGCTCTCTCTCAAAGGGGAGTACGGCCCATGCTGTGTGTCCCCGCTGTCCCCACACCACCCACCCTGAGCCCAATTTGACTCTCTCCAATGGAGAACCGAGTCAGAGCCAGGCCTGACTTCCCTCAATCCCTTTAGCACTGACAGGCCTTAAGCAGTGGTGTGGACCCCTCCCCTTTCCCAGTGGCCTTAACAGTGAGTGAGGCCATATCAGAGCTCAGAGCGGAGCTTCCCCAAGTTGTTGCCAGCACGTGGTATGAGATCTCATTCACCTGGTCCCACTGCCCTGTGAGAAGGTTCAGAGAGTGGGCAGGGGTGAAGCTGGGAATTCACCGTTCCTTGTGCTCACATCAGGCCATCTGCTCCTCCCTTCCCTCTCAATCTGCTCTCACTACCTGTCCCTCTAATGGTCTCCAACAGGGATGCCAAGTATGACCACACAGCTGAAGAGCAGGGGGAAGATCCAGGTGCCGGGTCTGATGGCCTTGGCCCTGCCCGGGGCCGTGTCTTGTCACGTGGTTGGTGGCACTGAAATGAAAACACAAGGATCAGAGCCCCAGTGGGGACCCCAAACTGGGGGAGGCTTCCTCAGCTCCTGCTGGCCCAGGTCCATCCTACCACGCAGACGGTGCCTATCACTGTCCTTGTGGTAGCTGCTGTGACCAGTGCTCATGCTGGCAAGGAGGGAGGGGATGTTCTCTGTGCCCTAGGGGCTCCTCCAGCCAATAGGGGAAGCAGGGTTTGCAATGTAAGCAGTCACTCCTGCTGTGACACACAGGAGGTGATGCAGGACAAGGATGGTGACAACCACATTCCCGGTAGCACTGAAGGATTTCCAGCAATACACCAGGTGACACGGAAAAGACGATGATTCTCAGAAAAAGGAACATAGGACCATCTCTGGAAACAGACTGATGCTCCCCTGTTTGCGCCAGTAAGAAATCCAAGAAATAGCCAAGCACAAAGGTGCGCGCGCAACCAGGAAGTGATTCCAGGAGGTGAGAAGGGAAAGGAAGGATGCTAGAATATTCCAGTGGCCATTATAATACCAAGAAGAATTCGCCATGGATGGACCAATTTCTCTCTCTCCCTCACACACACACACACACACACACACACACACACACGCACCCCATACTGTGGGGCAGGCGGAGCTCATCTCAGGAGAACCAGCAGTCCATCCAGTCTTCTGAGTTACCTGTGGTCTCCTGCATTTCATCCCAGCGCTCCCACACTTGCTGCAGCCAGCTCTGACAGTCTCCGTTTGAGGTCCTCAAGAGCAGCTTGGTCAGCTCTCTGTCATTGTCCAATGTGCCCTTGAACCGTTGGCCTCCAGGAGGAACCACTGTCCACTTTCTGTTCTTCGGGTCAAAGAGGTGGGTCAACTGCTCATTGAAGCAAAACCGCCAGGATTCTCTGGTGTGTCCATCAGCCCCACGCTCACACATGAGCCTGCCCTGCATGGTGAGAGAACCTGTACCGGCCCCCAGCGGGGGAACAAGTCAGCCTCTGGTCCTGACCAATCCTTTGTCCCACCCACTGTGCACTCCTCAGCTCACTCCCAGCCCTCCTGGTCCTGCTCTGGCCTCCTTGTCTACACTAGCTACTGGCCGCGTGTGTGGGACCCACTTCGAAGTTTTACATGAACACAATAGCTCCCCGGCCCTGCCAAAGTGTTCCCCTTCTACCCTGGGCCTTCAGACTTACCGCTTTTAGTGAAATTCTCTACTTTGATGTCCAGCAGTTTCTTTCTGAGCTCTTCCACCAGGAGTTTCACAGTTTCCTCCTGTTTCTGCCAAAATGCTGTGTCCTTCAGCTTCATCCCCCAAGGACCAATGGGTTTGAACTCCTTGGTCTGACAGTCATAGGAAAGAAACGTTTTGCCATTGATCTGGCCTTGAATCTGACACCATGGCTGTCCAGGCCTGGCCTGAGATGTGATGGAGAAATTGTAGGAAAGGGAGAGAGCATCTGCGAAGGGAAAACACAGGTGGAGGTTGGGGCTGGAAAAAAAAGAGCAGCAGGCACCCCTCTGCCGTCCAGGTGACAGCACTAGAATGTGGGCAAGACAGAGCAAGGACTGTCCCTGCACAGCAGCTCCCCTAGCCTTGGAGGCTGGCGCTCTTCCCTTGTTGGGATAGGATCAGGATGCCTCTGCCTAGTAGGAGACCACATAGCCCCAGATAGGACCCGCATCTACCAGGCTGATACCCAGCATCACTCTGTCTCTACCCACTCCAGGCACAGCCAGGCAGGCTATGGAAAGAAGAGGTCTACATGTCTGAGGGCTGTCAGGATGCAGGCCAGTGTCCTGTAGGAAGATGAGGGGCAGGGAGGGGGCTGCTCCTGAGGAGCTGGGTCAGGGTGGGGGCAGAGTGAGGACAGAATCCAGTCAGAGAAGGGTGAGTTCAGGACCATGCATCACAGGACTCAGCAGGGCCCTGGAGATGCTGATAACCTGCCCTTAGGATGGGTCTTGGAAGCTTGGAAATGGTGGTCCACACTGCACAGACTAGAATAGCAGGCATAACCAAGGCAGATAGAAGGCTCAGAGAAGTGCATATGATAGAACAGATATAGCAAGGAATGCCAAACACGAAACCACATGTCCTGCAACTATGCTCATGGACAGGTCTGTAGGACTCTTTACAAATAAAATTAATAAATACAAAAATAACTTATCCTGGATGCAAGGAAAGAGATGAGTACCAACCTTAAAGCCTCTCTCAGGATGCAAGGATGTGCATGAACCCTATTCGATTTTCACTGAAATGCCAGCCTGGTGCAAAGATTTTCTGTGTCTATTGAATATTGCATAGGTCTCTGTTGTAACCACTCAACGTGCTTTTGTAGCTGGCAAGCAGCCATAGGCAATCCATGGATGAAGGGGCTGCTCCCTGGGCCCCAGGACCCTTAGAATCCACACCACAGAGCCCTGTGGGAAAATGGGCTCTGTGCCCTTTGTGACATCCTGATCTGAGTATCAAGAAGAGAGCCCTAGTGTTCCAGGGAGGCAATGGCACTCACAGGAGGGGAACTCACACCCTGTAAAAGAGGCTGCAGGCACCAGGGACAGAGAGTGAGGGAGGCCTCTGGCAGAGGACATCAGAGCTGTGCACCCTGAGCTGGGAAGTGCTGGTGAAGGAGCGCCTGGCCTCCCACGGAAAGGGGGGTTGGGGTAATCCACTGCCCAAGTGTGCGGGCAAGTCCATCACACTTGGACTGGTTGAAGGCAGTGGGGACAGTGACTCATGCAAGGAGAGCAGGGGAGTAGCTTTGAAGCATGGGATCCTGTGGCAGTTCCCTCCCTGAGAAAGCCCCAGGTCATGCCCAGGTCAGTGCCCCTGGGGGCCTTAGGTTTCGTGCCCCTGGGAGGCTTAGGTTAGGCTGGGCTCAGAGATGAGACTCCAGAGGCTGGAGAGGACCACAGATTTCCCACCGTGCCCTCTCTCCCTCAGCTGTGCTCCCTGGCCCCCAGCGCTTGGCCGAACTTTCTGAGTTTTCTCCCTAGCCCTCAGATTCCTCTTACCCGCCTCGTCCTCCTCCTCCCCACCCC